GTTTTCAGTTTCTTAGCAAGCTCAGGCCAGCCTTGCTTTGGCCTTTTCTGCTTTTTTGTAGGCATTACCACTACAGCTGTGCGAATAGCTCTTGGGTACTGGTAACCTGTTAACTGTCTGCTGGCTGGTTTTGAGGTAGCAAAACTAAAAATGCTGCAGCATCCTCACCAAGCAAAAGCTATTGTGTATTTATTTAAGTTCTCAGTTATACCAACTCTTTGTGTATTGGGGCTGTGTACTTGTTTATAACCTCAGGAACATTACTTTTTCATAAGATATGTGACATCTTTCTCTGTAATAGCAGTTAGTTTCCTATAGTTTCTTTTGGTAAAATAAATTAAATTTAGTTTTTTCTTTTGTTGTTGGCAGAGTATAATAACTACCGTCCCTGCTGTAGGTCTTACATTTTGTTCATATAATCTCTCATACAGCATTAGCCAGCAGCTCAGAAAAAGTCTTGCTGAATTACTTTTGCAAGTCTGAGTGGCATCATTTTACCAGCATTGTCTGTAATAGAAATGTGCAGCAGTTTCTGTGAATATATCCCTAGCTCTAGAACAGCAAATTCACTATCAGAGTGTGTATATCTTCCCTCTCCAGAAACTTGTCAGTTGCCTCTGATTAAATAAGTAATTGATAACACTTTGGCAAGTTTAGAGAATGTAGTGGTCTTAGTGAGCTGATCATCTATAATAGGCTAAGGACTTTAATGCTGTACACTAGTAACCCACAACTGCACACAAAGTCTGGGTGGGGGGAGAGGTTGTCTGCTTGTCAGATTTATTTGAGCTCCCTCTCTTGAAAGGGACACCAGGGCTCCTGTGAAGGGATCTAAATGCTGAATCTGTAAGATGCTTTAAGCAGCCAGAGTCTGAATGGAGTCCAGGCCCTGTCCCTGGCTTGAGGTCTCCATGTATGTTCTCAGCATGCCAATCATCAGTCTAGCACAGGGGTGGGTAAACTTTTTGGCCTGAGGGCCGCATCAGGTTTTGGAAATTGTATGGAGGGCTGGTTAGGGGAGGCTGTGCCTCCCCAAACAGCCAGATGTGGCCTGGCCCCTGCCCTCCCCTCCCCCTGCTTCTTGCCCCCAGGACCCCTGCCCCAGCCAACCCCTCCTCTCATTCCTGGCTGCCCCATCCAACCATCCCTTCTCCCTGACTGCCCCCAGAACCCCCTGCACCCATTCAACCCCCCCTATTCCCTGCCCTCTGACTGCCCCAGCCCCCTAATGACGACCCTGAACTTCCCTGTCCTCTATCCAACCCCACCAGCTCCTTGCCCCCTTACCATGCTGCCTGGTGGTGCTACAGCTATGTCACCGGGTCAGGCCAGGCTCT